TCACAAAGGTGATTGACTGGATTGATTTAGATTTTCGTTTTTCCACATAGCTGAGTCTGACATCCATTTCAGCGCCGCTCGTCTCCTGTAGATTGAACCCCACCCGCAGACCCCCGCGCAAGCCCAGCACCACTGTCTGATCCTCCCAACACACCAGATCCAGCTTAAATCTATTGCTTTTACCCCAGCCAAACCCCAAATCTCCCCCACCCCTGCGCCATATGAAATCCTCCCCCAACCCGTTCACCAGTCGTCCCCTTCACACCGGGCTCAATTCATCTTACTTACACCCACTCTGTCACATTTGGCACTCTCCAAATTAAGAGAGATCAGTGCTTCACCACCCCGGGCCGCTTGGACTCCAGCCCCCCACACGTGATCCCAACAAATATGACCACCGTTCGACCTTGACCTCCAGATGAAGCCCATTCGGAGGAGTCAAACGCACAGGGGCGCAGCGGGGGAACGGCCTGCCCTTCTCTTAATGTGCTTTTACATTTGATTAGCAGCCTTGTAGAAGCTCGCTGTGAACACGGAGAGCATGCAGAACATCTGTTAGCCGCGCTGATCTCAGATCTGTGTCTTCAGATTAGACTTCAGTCTGTGGACATTTCTCAGATCATTTTCATTACTGTTTCGCTCTTCTGTCAACATAAACACGCATCGGAGAGCCGGTCTGTCAACATGGAGAGTTTAGAGCTTTGTAAACATGCATGTTAGTGGGCATTAAAGAGTATTTAACTGGGGAACATTTGTACTTATGCAAAATATTATATAATGATTTATGTTATACAATGAAGGATTCTCAGAACTTTGTACATTTTATTTTATTATTCATTTATTAACGACAATAATTTTTATGCATATATATATAAAAAAGAAAATGAATAAATGAAATAGTATTTTATATACATATATATACACACACATATTTATATATATATATATATATATATATATATATATATATATATAAATATATAAACATACACACACACACATATACATTATATATACATTATATATATATATAAATATGTGTGTGTATATATATGTATATAAAATACTATTTCATTTATTCATTTTATTTTTTTCAGCTCAGTTCCACAGGGTTTGCCACAGTGGAATGCACCGTCAATTTATCTAGCATATGTTTTACGCAGTGGATGCCCTTCCAACCACAAGCCACTATTGGGAAACACCCATACACTTTTGTATGAAACCCACGCCAACAAGGGGAGAACATGCAAACTCCACACAGAAATGGAACACAGCCGAAGCTCGAACCAGCAACCTTCTTGCGGTGGGGCGATTGTGCTACCCACCTTGCCACTGTTACAGCCATATAATACTATTTATTATTATTAAATAAAGCGACGCAGTGTTGCAGTAGTGCTGCCGCCTCACCGCAAGAAGGTCGCTGGTTCGAGCTTCAGCTGGGTCAGTTGGCTTTTCTGTGTGGAGTTTGCATGTTCTCCCCGCGTTCACGTGGGTTTCAACCAACTTCCACATCATTGCTGATCTACAGCCATATAGCTGTGCTACTCCAGTGATATTGCTCATATAGGCAGAATTATGTGTTAGTATTACGTAATTTGAAAGTTTTATAAGCAGAAAATGTTTAATGCAAAATGTATTGGGTTTATGTTGATGTGTGATTTAACGTCATTTCAACAGACAAACAAATTAAATACACTTTATGTTGAATGTTGGATCTACAACATCAACTAAAAATCAACATCAATTCAAAGTTTACCAGGTAATCCAATTGCGTCGATTTTTTTACATAGTTTTGAATGCCGTGCACAACGTTGATTCAACATTACTTTATTTTGACGTCAATTTTAAGTTAAAATAATTTCTGTTTGCTATCTGGAATGTATTTTAACTGCGTGTGTGTGTGTGTGTGTGTACATATATATATATATATATATATATTATTAATTCTTTATTTTTTTTTCTTTTTAAAATATTTTCCAAATGATGTTGAACAGATCAAGGAAATTTTCACAGTATGTCTGATAATATTTTTTCTTCTGGAGAAAGTCTTGTCTGTTTTATTTCGGCTAGAATAAAAGCAGTATTTAATTTTTTAAACATTATTTTAGGGATAAAATTATTAGCCCCTTTAAGCTATTTTTGTTTGCGATAGACTACAGAACAAACCATCCTTATACAATAACTTGCCTAATTCCCCTAACCTGCCTAGTTAACCTAATTAACCTAGTTAAGCCTTTAAATGTCACATTAAGCTGTATAGAAGTGTCTTGAAGAATATCTAGTCTAATGTTGTTTACTGTCATCATGATAAAGATAAAATAAATCAGTTATTAGAGATGAGTTATTAAAACTATTATGATTAGAAATGTGTTGAAGAAATCTGCTCTCTGTTAAAAAGAAATTGGGGAAAAAATAGACAAGGGGGCTCACAATGCCAACTTCAACTGTATGTGTGAATTCTTTTTTACATTTTCACTAAAATTATATTTAGATTGAATATATTTAATCGATAAAAATGTATGTAAAAACATTTTATCAAGGTTTGTCAAGCTTCATGCAATTCCCTAATACACCTCTGATGGCTATTCCATGCTTACCTGTCCAAAAAAAAAAGATGAAGATTGACGCTCTGCAGCCGAAAGAAGGGCCCCAAATATAGGAGAGACGTCAGACCTGAAACAGTCATGTGAAACATACAGAAAAGCTCTGATGAGACGAACGAGGAGGTGAAATTAAAACTGACAGCATTTTAGTTCCTGCAAGGCGCAGCCATTCAGCACCACGCAAATCTCCTCTGAAGCTATTTGCATGTACATCCAGCAATTAAAAACTGTCTGTAAATGGACGAGGGGCCGGCGCAGGACCCCTGATGTCTGTGTTCATCAAGCTGATTGAGATGGACCCGCAGGCTCAGAGCTCTTCAGATCCTTCCTCACTCAACATATTACGCACATCATCTGCTGACACACAAAAAAAGAAGAAGAAAAAAAAAGCCTAATGTTTACAGTCATGCAGCTCCGACCATCAGGAGCACAAACAATAAGGCTGGACAGTCTGAAATAATGAAGCTCTTTTCAATTTGCTGTTAAAAAGATCAGTAGGAGTGTCTGCTCATTGTTTGTTCAGGACAATCAATTATACAATGTTAGTAATTTTTGTAAGTTACAGTATTTAACTGTAATATTAATTTAATTTTACAATTATGGAGTGTTACCGTATTTTTAAGTTGCATTGGGAAAATTGCTGTATATTTTACAGTTAAGATACTGTACACACTACTGTAAATGCATATACAGCGAGATAAATGCTGCTTTGAATGTAAATACAGTATTTTTGCAGTAATCGATTTACAGTGCATTACCGGCAAACTGCTGCACTACAACTACACTGTTATTGATTCCTCTAAATTACACAGTAATTAGCTGTAATATGAACTGTATTTTACTGTAGGACAGTTATAGAGTATGTTACCGTATATTAAAGATGCATTGTGAAAATTGCTGTATATTTTACAGTAAAAATACCCACTACTGTAAATATACAGCAAGATAAATGGTGTAGATGTAAATACAGTAATTTTGCTGTAGTTGATTTACCGTACTTTACTGGCGGACTGCTGCACTACAAATACAGTTAATCATTTTTGTAAATTACAGTATTTAGCTGTAATTTGAACTGTATTTTACTGTAGGACAGTTGTGCAGTATGTTACTGTATTTTACTGTTGCATTGTGAAAATTTCTGTATATTTTACAGTAAAAATACACAGTACTGTAAAGTAATATATAGCAAGATAAATGGTGCGGAAGATGTAAATACAGTATTTTTGCTGTAATTAATTTCTAGTAAGTTACTGCTGGACAACAACTACACTCTTAATGATTTCTGTAAATTACAGTAATTAGCTGTAATATGAACTGTATTTTACTGTAAGAGAGTTAGAGTATGTTACCGTATATTAAAGATGCATTGTGAAAATTGCTGTATATTTTACAGTAAAGATACCCACTACTGTAAATATACAGCAGGATAAATGGTGTAGATGTAAATACAGTAATTTTGCTGTAGTTGATTTACCGTACTTTACTGGTGAACTGCTGCACTACAAATACACCGTTAATGATTTTTTTAAGTTGCACAGTATTTAACTGAAACATGAACTGAATTTTACTGTGGGACAGTTGTGCAGTATGTTACTGTATTTTAAAATGGCACGGTGAAATGTCTGTACATTAAATATATACATCACTTTAAATACATATACAGCAAGATATATGATGCTGTAGATGTAAACAAAGGATTTTTGCTGTAATTTATTTACAGAATGTGACTGGCGGACTGCTGCACTACAATTCCACTGTCTATGATTTTTTGTAAATGACACAGTATTTAACTGTAATATGAACAGAATTTTACTGTAGGACAGTTGTGCAGTACCTTAAAGTATTTTAAGGTTGCATTGTGAAAATTGCTGTATATTTTACAATAAAGATACACAGTACTTCAAATACACATACATGCCTTCAGTGGAGCGAGTTTCCACCTTTTCCTTCACCAAAGAAAAGAAGTAAAGAGTAAAAGTAAAGAGAGAGTAAAGAGGCTGAATGGAGGAGGCTCGTTCTTTATCCTCGCGCTGCAGATGCTCTGTCTAACTGTCTTCTCGCTAGTGAAGCGTTCAGTTTTTACACTTCCAAAGACGCCATGTAAATAGCAAATGCGCCATGGCGGGATGCGACTGAGTCCTAAAGGGAATGGGAGATGAGACTCTGATTGGTTTAATGCAGGTTATGCTCAAAACACAGCCATAACTCATTAAGAGAATAAGCACAGCACTGTTAGACCATGCATCGGTGCGCAGAGTGTATTTTTCCATCCTTAAAATAGCAAAAGTTGATTCAGACACTCACTTAATGCTTTTGCGCAGTGCACTTTAGACTTTGTGCTTAGATCATTAAAACAGAGCCCATGAACAAGTGTTACGAATGAACAAGACTGATAGCAGCGGTACTAAAAGAACATTTTAATAAATTAACGTCTTCATGCTCAAATCAAAATACAAAAACACAGAACCAAAAAAACATCAAGCAGTCATGAGGGGGTTTCTAAAGGTCGAAATGTACATGGACTGTGAATATTCCTCCTGAATATCCGTCTACAGCAGAAGTTCATCGCTCTGGTGAGGAGATCTGACTCGAGAAAGCGGATTATTAAAAATAATAATAATAATAATAATTAAAAAAACTCACTGTTGGCACTTTACCTGCAGAGCCATAACCCAATCACAGACATTTATAGCAAAAAACAAACAAAACAAAACAAAATGAAATGAAAAACATGAGAGGATTGTCTAAATACACTGGAAAAAAAAGATTCATTGGATTTACTCAATTTTTTTAAGGTAAATGTTTGCAAACTATTTATATGGGTTGAATTTAAACAAGCTAATTACGTTTAACATTACTAAATTGTAATTGTTTGATAAAATCCAGCCCATGTAAGCAATCTGCAAACACTTACCTTAAATAAAAATTGAGTAAACCCAATAAATCAAGTTTTGTTTCAGTGTAAGACGTTATATAGCGGAAGTCGACATTATTATCGGCATCTTTACATTGACGGCTCATCGGATGAAGTACCTCCAAAACTGACGATATCAAAATTCACAATTTTTTTTACGAAAAACGGCATCGCATAATAACGCTGAATAGGCCCCGCCCACATCGCTAAACTCCGCCTCTTCGGCTCCAGCGACCCCCGACAAAAATGGGGAGGAAGACATGCAAAAAATACAGAAGAGAAGCTGGAAAAAGTACAACGGTCCGAAAAAAGAAGTCCTATAATACAGCAGTCCTTCATGTTTGAGTCCAGAGTCTGAGGAACAGTGCTAGAAGAGGATATCTTCATTTTTGATGAGCAGCTCCACCACCTGCCGCTGGTAGCGGATGTCGTTTAGAGCCGTCATGGCGTCCAGGTCTGGAGCCCGCATTAAAGTCGGCCCGAAGACGATCCCGAGGTTTTCGGCGTTCATCAGGTTATCCTTCTCATTCTGAGTGACCCTGCGCACACATGTAAACACCGAGCTAAGTACACATGAAATCAAAACTAACCATATTGATTTTGTTAGCTCACATTGCTAGTTTTGTGGAGAACAATTCATCTGTGCTTGTCATTAAGACCAAAAAAAAAAAACAATGTTTGCCTTTCCCAAAATTGAAATCTAAAAATGCGCTTCCTGTTTGTTTTCAGTTAAATTCTCAGATTATATCTGTCTGAGGTATTGGGCGTGGCTAACATATTTAAACACGCCCTTCCAGCAGTCAGTTTCGACATCGCTATGACAATAAACATAAATGGTTAAAGGGAGGCGTCTGTTAGGTTGTAATAACTGTCTCTTAATAAAATGCCTACTTTACGGCATCCAATCAGATCACAGTAAAAAAAAAAAAAACAAGCCACGCCCACTGTTTTCTCATTTAATATTTCATTAACATTTATATTATTATAAAAGGGTAACATTTGTACCCTTTTGGCAGTGGAAACGCAAGACTGATAAAGGTGGCCTGTACTGAACCACTCATAAGTTCCACAGTTTCACTATTTCAAACATTTTACCTGGGAAATGTTTGTTAAATTAATTGTTAAAGAAACAGTTAAACACCAAAAGGACTGCAGATTGAAACAGGGAATGACGACGGGTGTCGATTGCGATTTCTGACCTTTTCAGGTGTGCCATGAGGTATCGCAGTGTTTCACAGTGAGCAGGAGGAAGCAGCTTCAGAGCTTCATGAAGAGCCTCCAGACGCTCATCTGGATCTGTCAGCTCTGAAACACACACACACACACACATCAAAATTTAAGAGATTAATGCCCGATGTACAGTTGAAGTCAGAATTATTAGCCCTCCTGTATATTTATTTCCCGTTTTCTGTTTAACAGAGAGATTTTTTCCTACACATTTCCAATCATAACAGTTTTAATAACTCATCTCTAATAAACGATTTATTTTATCTTTGCCATGATGACAGAACATTTTATTTGACTAGATATTCTTCAAGATACTTCTATACAGCTTAAAGTGACATTGAAAGGCTTAACTAGGGTAATTAGGGTAAAGTTAAGGTAATTAAGCAAGTCATTGTATAACAGTGGTTTGTTCTGGAGACAATCCAAAACTAATATTGCTTAAGGGGGCTAATAATATTGACCTTAAACTGGGTTTAAAAAAATTAAAAATTGCTTTTATTTGAGCCGAAATTAAACAAATAAGACTTTTTCCAGAAGAAAAAATATTATAGGAAATACTGTGAGAAATTCCTTGTGTTGTTAAACATAACTTGGGATATATTAAAAAAAATAATAAATAAATAAAAAATAAATAAAAAAAATCACAGGAGGGCAAATATTTCTCACTTCAACAGTATATATTTAAAAAATTGTAAATAAACAAAATAATACATTATAAATAAAAAACAATTAATGAAAGTGGCAAAAGGTCAAAATAAATTTGGAACAAAAATAATAATAATATATAACTATTAAATAATAATAAATATATAGTGAAGGAGACTCACTGGCAGCCTGGATGAAGCGAGGATAAGCGTCGTAGGTGATGACGGGGATCGGCAGGTCCCTAAAGTACAGTTTCAGAGCTCCGCTGATCACGTTAATGTCTTCATACACGTTCACTGAGATGTCGGCCTTCTCTCCATCTGAACACACACACACACCCCAAATGCAGAGTTCAGCTCCAACTTCCTTAAACACACCTGCCTGGAAGCTTCTAATATACCCATGCTCCGTCTCATTTATTATTTGTGCATCCTCGCTTCTTTTCCTCGTGTAGCTCCACCCCTTCAGGATTCGAGGGAAGGACGCAAGGAGAAGATGTGCGGACAGAGGATTTGTGAAATCATATATATTAGCTGCTTTTTATTTGTACTGAAAAATACAAATTGAATGAATTAATGAGGGCAAATTAAAGAACAGGATGAACAGGCATGTGAGCAAGTGGCAATCAGATTGGTGGAAAAGGTTTTGATGACACGTGTCAAACCAAAAAACATGAGCAACAGGCGTTTCTTTAAAAATGACGCTTTTATGCCCGTTGCCTTTTGTTTTGTCTTTTGTTTAGTCACAAGGCGTTAAACATCGACGAGCAAAAACAGTTTGGGCCTTTACGCTTTTACTGTATTTCTCATCAAATAAATGCACCTTTGCATTTTTTTAAATTATTTTTATTTCTGAAATCTAGACTTTACTGGAACTTCTGTTAACGAATGAATGAACGAACGAACGAACGAACTTAATGACTGAACGAATTAATGAAAAAAATTAAGTTAATGAAGAAAAATCAACAAATGAATAAATGAACAAACAAATTAGCAAAACGAGAAAACTAAATGAATGAAAATAGAAATAAACAAACTGAAAAAACAAAACAAAAGAACAAAAATAACAACCAAATAAATGAACAAAGCAAAGAAACAAACAAAATGAAAAAAACAACAACAAACAAGTCAAATGAACAAAACTAATGAACAAACTAAAGGATCCGCATAACAAACAAACCAATGAATGAATTAATCAATGAATGAAAATACAAAGAAAAAAATAAAGCTTAATGATTAAACAAAACAATGAATCACCAAACGAATGAATCAAGAAACAAAAAAATTCTGTTGATGAAGAAAAATGAATGAATCATAAACTAATAATTGAAAAAGCAAATTAACAAAATGACCAAACAAACGAGCAAAATTAGAAAAAAACAGCAAATAAACAAACTAAAATAACAAAACAAAAGACAAAATAAACAACCAAATAAATAAACAAAATCAACAAACAAAATTTAAAAATGAACAAAAATGATCAAACGAGTTGAACAAAGGAACCAACGAATGTACGTACGTAACACGTGCTCAAACACTGTATAAACTGCAGGACGGTCCTATTTCTGTCTTTCATCTTCATATTCTGTCTCTCTGAATCTGTCCTCATGTCATCTCCATTATGAAACAGAAACGCTTCTGAATACGAACAGATGGGAGAAAATCCTCCCACAAATGTGCCACATATAAGCAGATCAGAATTATATTTCATGTTACATAAACCCACGGCTCTATATGAAAGACAAAGCGTGACCTAAAAAAGCAGCGCTGAGCTTTATTCTCCAGGATTTGTGTGTAGGCGTGTGTGTGTATGTGTGTGTGTGTGTGTGTGATGGATCAGTGCTGTACATGATCACAATAAAACAGCGCTCACCTCTGTCAAACGATAACTTCACGTCTTCAATCAAGTCACTGAATCCAGAGATGCGATAGAGACCCTCCGACTGCAACCCTGTGGGACGAGACCATTAGGAATTGAAAAAGCCCTGCATTCAAGAGCTCTGAGCATTCTGCATGATAAATCAATAGATGAATAAATACAAATAAATGGATAAATATTAAAAAGAAACAAATAAATAAATATAAACAGACAAATAAAATAACTAACAAAAAGAATAAATACTGTATCAGAAAAAATGTAAGGTTGAAAAAGCAGTGCATTTGAGCAAACGTACTGTATAAACAATCACAAAAAACATTATAAATAAATATAATAAATATGAATAAAAATATAATAAATCAAAATAAATTAAATAAATCAAAATATATAAAATAAATTACGTAAAATAAAATAAATCCACACACACACAAAACCCTAAAAAAAAGACATTTCTTAAAAATATTATTATCTGTAATAGACTTAAAACAAATATAAGATTAAAAAAGCTGCATTCAAGAGCTCAAAAAAATCTGCACAAAAATAATCTCTTTAAATAAATAAATAAAAATAATAATAATTCAACATACAAAAAACCCTGAACCCCCCAAAATTATTAATTGTAAAACACTTAATACAAATATAGTACAGAAAAATCTGCATTTAAGAGCTCTGAAAAATTCTAAAGGATAAAACAAAGATAAACAAATTAAAATTAATTAAATAATTAAAACAAATAAGTGAATAAATATAAAACAATTTAAATAAATCCAAACAAAAACAAAGGCATTTCTTAAAAATATTATTATTTGTAATGCATTTAAAACAAATATAAAATTAAAAAAGCACTGCATTCGAGAGCTCAGAAAATAATCTTCACTAAATAAATAAATAAAAATTCATTAATTAAAATAAAAGAAATAAATAAATTGATCCATTATTTTTAATAAACAAATAAATCCACACCCACAGACAAAACAAACATCTAAAAAAAACAAACAAACAAACAAAACATTTATAAATATTAGCCACTGGCCATTAAAATGGCCATCAAAATATCCCTGACCAAACAAACCACTAAACAATAACAAAATATACAATATTTTAAACAAATATACAATTTTTTAATTAATATACAATAAATAAACAGATAAAAAAAGCACTAAACAAAAAACAACACAACAAAACACACACTCTCACACACAAAATAAAAAAACAAAACACAAAAAATAGAAAATAAAATAAAACAAAATGAAAACCCCCCCCACAAAACAAAATAAAAAGACAAAAAAGGAATTGAATGAAACGAAGCAAAATACAAAGCATGAAAAAATCCAAAACATAAGAAATGACCAAAAAAAAAAACAATTATAATAAAATAACAAAACAAAAAAACTGACAAAATATTTAATAAAAAAAAGTAGACCATTACAACACAATATCAGCATAAAACCGGCTGTCAGTATATAAGGGAAACTCAATATATCACTGATCATGCTACAAGTCCCTGACCATAACATTAGCGTTAGCTGAGCTACTCAAGTCTAGAAGGGATACAGCCGAGGATAGCCACATCAGTTATTGTGACACAGTTTTGGTGAACATAAGCATGTTTTCTGACCTCGTGCTTCGATCTCTCGTATGCACATGTCCACCACCATGGGTCGTTTGGCGTTGTGGGCTTTGACCAGCGTGGTCAGATCACAGCTGTAAACCTTCTTCACGTGCTTCAGGTCCGGCTTACAGTCGTTCGGCACCATCTTTGAGCACTGCTTATGAACATTCAGCCCGCAATCTGAAAAACAACACAGAAAACACAATCAGATCAGATCAGATGCACTATAGGAGTATAGGAGTTTATAATGATGCACTATAGGAGTTTTTAACCAGTGCTGATAGCGAATTGTGTATTGTTCAAATTGACTACCCTTTGGTTATGTTGGGGGCTGTTTTTGCCCCATTGACTTCCATTATAATCACATTTTTTGATTGCAAAGCATTGACAGCATATAATCATGCATTCTTGATTGTTATAGTATGCATAAATACAATTACTATGTTCACTATGTTCTGAGAGCTGAGGGACTTATTTAGATTTTCTCAGACTGTACGGTATACTGTATCAAGGTAAGTGTGCAGTGTTTCTCTTACACTGTCTCTCACTCTCACACATACACACTTTACTCCAGAAAAAAAAGCCAGAAACGAAGCTTTCTTTGCATTGGAGCTGATCAACAGTAGAAATGACACATTGTACCTCTTCCCAACTAAGAAAACCAGCAACAATCAGGAATGCATGATTATACGGTTTCATGGCTTTGCAATCAAAAAGTATTATGATAATGGAAGTCAATGGGGCAAAAACAGCCCCCAACATAATGAAAGGGTAGTCAATTTACCCAACATGTACAGTATTGTTGAGTTTTTGAAAAAATCCAAAGCATTTTGTCCAAAAGAGTAGATGGAAAAAATCCCCAACAGCATACAAGGGTTAACCAAAATAGGTTAAGCCACTGTCGATACAGATATTGGTCAATTGCATACAGTAATAGCTAGATTTTTTTCTACATTAAATGAATTTGACTGAATAAAGACTGGTTAAATTTTGAATTCAACTATCCATTATTTTAGATTGATATTTTTTTTTAAATATAATAAGACTTAAAGGGTGATGTTTGTTATCTAAAAGCATTAAACTGTACATTTGACAAATAAAAGAATTCATTTATTTAATATATTCAACAAATGCATATACATTAGCTAAGTCAGTACTGAAGCCAAATCTGGAGCTATTCTAACAAAATAACTTATGCTAGTTGTCCAAAAATGAGTAGGCCAAATGTGCATGTTAGGGACAAATATTAAATATATATTTTTAAATAAATCAAGTAAAACAAAGAATATTTAAAATTGGTAATATTTTGTAGTTTGTAATTTTTTCAATATTTCTCATGAATATAAATGTATAATCTTTCTATTTGTAAACATCAGTGACTAAAATATTATTTTAATAAATATAAATTTAATAATCTCACCAACATATATTACATATATTTACAGAGAAATGGAAATATTAAATTAAATATAAAAAACAGTTGAAGTCAGAATTATTAGCCCCCCATTTTTATTTATTTTAAATATTCCCCAAATGATGTTTAACAGAGCAAGGAAATTTTCACAGTATGTCTGATAATATTTTTTCTTCTGGAGAAAGTCTTATTTGTTTTATTTCGGCTAGAATAAAAGCAGTTTTTAATTTTTTAAACACCATTTTAGGGTCAATATTATTAGCCCCTTTAAGCTGTATTTTTCAATAGTCTACAAAAAAAACCATTGCTATACAATAACTTGCCTAACTACCCTAACCTGCCTAGTTAACCTAATTAACCTAGTTAAGCCTTTAAATGTCACTTTAAGCTGTATAGAAGTGTCTTGAAGAATATCTTATCAAATATTATCTACTGTCATCATACATTTATTATACCATCCGTATCTGTCTTTTTTTCTCATATTATTGCTGATAGTTTTAAGTTCATCCAATATCAGCCCATGCATATTGTCAGCCAAAACATAAACAAATAATATATTTAAAAAAACATAAAAGAAAAAATATATATAAACAGACTATATAATTGCACATTACATTTATATAGTATTTGTTTTAATGGGGGAGCTAAACAACACTCAATAAGCATTCATTTCATTCTTCCTGCCAAAACAGCTCAAATCAGCCAGTGTGTGTTGATTGAGTGCTGAAATCTGTAAATAATGTGTGTGTGTGTGTGTGTGTGTGTGTGTGTGTGTGGCTTCATTGATCTGGAGACTGATATGCTTTAGTATGTTTTGTGCTCGGCCTGCTGAGTTTTCATTCCATTTAATTAGCGACCTCTGCTGACCTCTGAGCAGTGATGTCAGCCGCTCCGATTGGCTGATGGCCATTTCAGCGGTGTCACCTTGGCGATGACAGAACACGCCTGGACTACAAATGAAAGTGGCCTCATTAAATATTCATGAGCAGCTTCAGACTAACTGCTTCAGAAGCCTCAAAAATCAAGACTGGAACCGGAAAAAAAAGGAACCGAAAAAAAAAAAAAAAATATATATATATATATATATATATATATATCAAAGGGGGGATAATAATTCTGATTTCAACTGTATATAAAAAAAACATCAACAAAAAACATGATACTTGTGTGTGTTGATAATGATGAAGTGTGTGTTTTATAAAGGGAAAAAAAGAGTTTGTAGTGGTATGAGGTTAAGTAAATGATGACCCTTTAACTATGTTTTGGCTTAACTGTCAATAGGAGTGAACTATCAACTTAAATATAATTTCTCTAAAATCATTGTCATAGGAAACCTATAAATGCAAAACTAAATCGATGTGTCCATCAAACAAGTAGAATTTACATAAAATGTGAAAATTTATGCATTATTAGTTGCAGAAGATCTACGTTAACAACAAATAATTTACATAAGAGCTGATCAGGAATAAATTTGGACACCCTCTAACAAAAAGTGCCATTTAATGGTTATGTGCTGACATCTGAAGACCGGAGACCCGGAGGGGGCATGATGGTGCATGGAGAAAAAAAATGGATGGGAGGGGAAAAAAAAAAAAAAAAAAACAGTGTTAGGAAAATATTTTTTTTTTTAGTTTTTGCTTTCCCTTGCAAAAAAGTTTTTCCAAACACTTCCTGTTCACTTCATTGGTTTGTTCTGCAGACTATCAAAAACGAATAATTTTGACCTAAAAATTGCTTTTAAAAAAGTTTGCAAGGAAATCTGTAAATGCAAAACTAAATCGGGATGGTGGAGAGACAAAATGGAAGAGGAAAAAAAAAGGGTATTAATTTTTATATATTTTTTTAGCCTTTTAATTCCCTCATTCATGTCAACCCTCCCATTTTTGCTGGAATTCTCCTGTATTTTACCATTTTATCCCGCTATCATCATATCATTAAATATTTTCCCATATTTTTCATATATTTTTAGTCTTTAGAGCGCGCTGAAATTAATATAAAAATATCTGCATGCACTTCATTTCCATTAAATCTGTGCGTCGATCATCCCCCTTCACATGCAACCTCTGAATCAGTGAATGCATGTATAAGCGCTGACTGACAATTCTAGATTTTGGTTGTATGATAATAGTCTGAGAAATAATCATGGTTTCACGATTATCATGCATTCATTAATTTCAAACACCACTAGTTTAGAAAATCGCATGAACACCCCTCATATTTTAAAGTTATTTATTGCTAACATTACTTTTTTTTCCTTAGAGTGTACCAATTCAACCAGTCCAGACAGACATCAGAGCTCACTGCGGATGCAAATGTAGGCAAATCAGCTGATTAATATATAATGTGGCCTCCTAAATGGGGCAGCTGCTTCAAACAGAGAGAGGGAAAGAGAAAATAAAATGAAGGAATGGATGAGAGAGACAGACTGAGGGCAGATGTGTTCAGTGAGAGACTCTTCAGTGGTCAGCGAGTGTCAGTCCTGCAGGCCACACCAGACCTCATTTCCTGCACATAATGGGTCAAACAGACGACCCATTACTACTCGAGTGGGGATTTTACTGACCGCTTTTAAGACACAGCTCTTAGTGTGTTAGTCGTTCAGTGTCTACAGCAGATGGGTAAACTATGCCTTTAAGATGATGAAGGGTACAGGTCTATATTCAGATGCTTTGTTTCTAGTGAAGATTTAGAGAAACTTGTTCATGCTTTTATCAGCAGCAGGGTGAATTACTGTAATGGACTCCTCACTGGTCTTCCTAAAAAGACAGTCAGACAGTTGCAGCTCATCCAGAATGCTGCAGCCAGGATTCTGACCAGAAGCAGGAAATCAGAGCACATCACACCTGTCCTCAGGTCTTTACACTGGCTGCCAGTTACATTCAGAATAGATTTTAAAGTGTTATTACTGGTCTATAAATCACTAAATGGCCTAGGACCTCAATACATCAAAGATTTGCTCACTGAATACAAACCCAACAGATCACTCAGATCTTTAGGATCAAATAAACTAGAAGTTCCAAGAGTTCAGTCAAAGCAGGGTGAATCTGCCTTCAGCCACTATGCCCCTCACTGCTGGTATCAGCTTCCAGAAATGATCAGATGTGCTCCAACATTAGGCACATTCAAATCAAGACTGAAAACACATCTGTTTAGCTGTGCCTTTACTGAATGAGCACTGTGCTGCGTCTGACAGATTGCACTATTATGTTTTTCTCTTCTTCATTCTTTTATTTCACATTTTACCTGTTTTTATGTTTTGTTTTGACGCATTTTTATTATTTGTTTTTATTTTTATTTTACTTGTTTCTTTTATTCTCGTTTATGTTAAGCACTTTGAATTGCCACTGTGTATGAAATGTGCTATATAAATAAACTTGCCTTGCCTTGCCTATATTAACATGCATCCGTAGTGTTTTTTTCACTGTATGTATTTTTGTTGTTTGTCATGTTGATTTTCAACTAATTTTCAACTAATATTTTTAAATTTATGTTAATTAAAACGCCATATTTAATCAAAACGTACACTGTATTTTACTAAAGAAGCATTTTTAATTATATCAGTATTAAAATCTAAAAACTAAATGAATGAAAACTATTATAACAGAATTTCTGAAAAAAGCATTTCATAGAAGACATTCATTTTTAAACTTTTTATGAATTGAAATTTAATGAATTAGTTTTATGCTGAAACAAATAAATCTATAAATGCTGAATCCATCAAACAAAAACATAACAAAAATTGTAACAATCTACATAAAATGTGAAA